ATATAGATGTAATATATAGCTGAACGTTATGACATTTCATACTTTAAAACAAAACTTCTATAAATGTTATTTAGGAGCTATGAAGAATCTTTCAGAAGAAAATAAGATGAAACTTTTACCAAAATACTATTTGATTAATATAGTCTATAACACATATTTGCTCAGATATACAGTGAATTTCTAATTATATATTGACTTACTTAGATTTACTCAGCATAGAGTATTCATACTTACTTACGTCTTTTACTTTTCGTTGAGGAGGATAGATCGCCCACCGGCATTTTCCATCCAACCCTGTCCTGAGCAATCATTTTCAGTTCTTTCCAGCTGTTATTCATCCTTTTCATATCTGATTTTATTTCCCGACGTAATTTGTTCTTTGACCTTCCTCTTATCCGCTTTCCTAACAGAGTATTCATGTGTTACGATTATACATTGCTGTATGAACAAAACTTTCAGATTAAATATTCACTACATCTTATCAGTTCATTAGTTAACTGTTATTAAATACTAATAAATTATTTGGTTTATTATTTACTCAAATGAATAGACAAATTAGAAAGTAATTGTTCTACTGAGTTTATCTCTTACTTGGTCTATTAAAAGAAAGACCCATGGTCATTTTTTTATAATAAAGCTGAAAATAGACAAATAACACTAATTTTGGCACATTCCTTGTTGATGAAAACAAGTTTTCGATTTATTTATTTATTCAATATAATAAAAACAAACATTAAGTTTTTTTTTAAAATGTGCGTCTAAAGATTTGCCTAATTAATCCATTGTAAATTAAATTAATCTTAATGAATAGATACTTAATTCAAACAAAGTTAATGACAAAATACATTCCAATGTTTTGTGTAGTTTTATTCTATCACTGTAGTTGAATAAACGTAATGCAAAGAATTATAAAATACAGTTTTTTTTGACAGCAATAAATGAATGTCAGGAATCTATGGTATCATTTATCATTTATATGAATATGAAACATACAAAAGGACTAAGTTCACCTGGCGTTGTTTAACTTGTACCTTCCCATTGTTATTTAGGACTGCAATTCATCAGTCTCTTGTTGACATATGTGCACCCTGTGCGTATTGCCTTGATATTGCCTTAAGTCAAAAGCTTTATAAGCAAAGATGGATAGTGGCTAGCAGTGGAATTCAGTAAGCGCGTTTCGTCCTATTTTGAACTCTTCGGGTGAACGTACCTGCATCTCTGAGTTGATATTCAATTCGGGACTCTAACCCACCACCATAACTTAAGGCTATATCGAGGCAATCCGCACGGAACACACATATGCCAATACGAGACAGATCAATTGTAGTCCTAAAGAACAATGAGAAGATACAAATAAAACAACACCCAGTGAATTTATAATTCACCCCAATGCACAAGCATGTGGCCATTAGGGATCAGTAGCTAAATGGATAATGCGATCGCGTTTGAAGCGAACGGTACTGGGTTCGTGTCCTACAGTGAACATGAACTCTGGGATACAGGTACATTCGGCTAACGAGTGCCAAATAGGATGAAACTCGCGTCCTGGATTCCACTGCTAACCATTATCCATCTTTGCATACAAAAAGATTATCTATAGGTTTTTCTGAGACATAAAAATAGTTTGATAAGAACTTCTATCCGGATTTGGACGAAAAGCTTCATAATAATTAAATCCTGTATATGAATAAAAATCGTTAAAATTAAAAATTTTACATATACAAATCTCAACAACTGAAAATTTATAACTTCAATGTTTTATTCTACAGTGTGGTCTAAGCTTCTTAAGAGAAATAATCAAAAACAATTAAGCACATATTTGTATTTTTGACATTTATGATAATAATAATAATAATAATTTTGATTATCTCCCTGGGGAAATCCACACGAAATTGGCAAGCGAAACGTTCAACTTACCTAATTTCTGTTTTGAGAGTTTTAAGTCAGTTCGATTACATAATGAGTAATGTTTAACAAATTAATTTGTTAATTGAACATGGCAATTTAAAGTTATCTGAATATGTCTTATTTAGTTGTTTTTTGTTTGAGACAAGAACACTTAACTCTTACGAACCGTAACAAAACAGAAACTGATTATTTCAAGCGTAAATTTAACCTGTGCTATGTAAATTTTTTTTCTAAGTTACACATATGTATCTTGATTTTAAACTGGAAATTAATAAGACTTGAAATGCAATCGTAAACCTTTTTTCCACAATCTCATTAAACTCCATTCTAATCAACTTTACTAAAATAGGGAAATATTATGAGTAAAAACAAACAAACTGGCAAACATTCAGTGCGCATCCACGATCCCGCTTCTCGAGAGACTTATTGGTCTCGCGTGCGAATGCTAAACTTCTAGACCACTAAGTCGGCATCCAACGGTGTTAATGTCTAAATTCAACTAATCCACGAAATTGAGTGACACATCCAACATTATGAAATAAACATGTTTTATACTTGTAGTTAAACTAACTCATGATAATCGGTTGGTATAATTTTTTAAATTGAAAATCAAAAAAAGTTTTTCCTTTTGAGTTTTATTGGACTCGCTAGTTTCTTTACAGTTTTTGCTAAATATACACTCCATGAATCGAATAAGAAATTGTGGTAAATATTTAAAGTAAATTTTAAAAAATCATTTTATATTAATAACTTGAGTTACCGTATCAAAGGATCTAAACTTAAAACCAGATAATTATCATTAAAGTATAAATACTAGTTGAAGATCTACATTAAACTAACTATTAGTCGAACGCGTTGACAACTTCACTTATCTTGGAAGTCTGATCAGCCCTAATGGGTTGGTGTCCGACGAAATCTCTGCACGGATTCGAAAAGCTCGTTTGGCTTTTGTCAACTTACGTCACCTATGGCGAAGGCGAGATATCCAACTATCAATAAAAGGAGTATACTGCGCAGCAGTCCGTTCTGTTTTAATCTATGGCAGAGAAACATGGTCATTAGGAGTAGAAAACACTCGTAAGCTACTAGTATTTGACCACAGATGTCTCAGAAATATTGATGGCGTCTGCTGGGATCACCAGGTAAGTAATAATGAGGTTAGACGTTGGGTATTAGGGAAGGATGGTAATTCAGTCGATGAGGTTGTGAATCTTCATCGACTGAGATGGTTGGGCCACGTATTACGTATGCCCGAACACCGATTTCCACGACGTGCAATGCTAACCGGTGTTGAAGATGGTTGGAAGAAAGTTAGGGTCGGCCAAACTAAAACGTGGCATCAGTGCTTGAAGTTACTAACTTCGAGTCCAAACCATGTTGGTAGATGCAGACTACTCGGTTGGGGTCCGCGTGACTATCGTAAACAATGGTTGGAGACTCTTGGTGACATGGCTCAGAATCGATCACAATGGCGTCGGTGTATACACTCTCTATCTTCCCTTAAACTAAGAGATTAAAATTGCTTCATATCTTTCTTCCTACGAACTAATTGTTTCTTCCTGTACTTTATCTTTATATGCAATCTTTCTTTTATATATTACCACCTCTGAATTAACTACTTTTATGAATCTGGTGTCCATCTTGTTGTGTTAATGGGGTGTGGCAACTTGGACTGATGCATAAATATGCCTAGTCCTACGTTGTAGCTGAAACTAAATATTTAGCTAGTCTAGTAAAGAAAAATGAATTTAGATCTCTTTTAGTATTTATCTAACTAGATGGTTATCAAGGCAAATGTAAAGCTAATTCATTATCTATTCATGAGTATTTGTATGTATATCCATGGGTATAAAAAAATCCACTTTCTTCAGCAGTTCGATTCTTGTCACTAATCGTTTCATCTAAAACTATCAACTTCGAGTGTTTTCTAAAAAAAATTTCGTTCATAACTTGTTTATCATAATTCAACTATTACACACATGATCAAATTCATTCGTACCTGATATCAATTAGTTGCTTTCTGATTTATACAAAGATATCAACTCGAAATAGAACTTATCAGAAAATAAACAATATTCCATTTTTATTATTTTCAGTAATTTAATAATCTTCGAGCAATGAATAGTAAATAAATGTAATTTCCTTTTTTATAAAGAAATAAAATTACTATTCATGATAATACTGGAGCATACTAGTTGGTATTACTAAAGAGGTTTTTTCACATTTTCGAATTGTATTTCCCGTATTCAAAAGAGAAACTTATTAAAAAAGGTTTTTACATTTAAAATTATATCAAGTCCTGTATATTAATAGTTTCTTTTTAATATTGTGATAACAACTACTTGAAATACAAACCTAAGATGTGATTCAGTTGTGGTACAATGATTAGTTTTCAGTTTCAGATTGTGAATATTTTTTAATTTCATTGAAATCATCAACTGATCAATGTTAGACCACCATTGAAAACCTGGAAGTACTGGGCGACCGTTTCGTCTTAGTATAGGGCTCCTCAACAGTGCGCATTCACGATCTTGCAAACAAGATTCGGATCTAGCACCTTCAGCCTCACACAAGAACGCTTAATCTCTACACCATTGAGTCTAACTACAATTAATTCACGATGTTGCGCAACTAGCTCCAAATGTCTTCGATATGTGATTTCCTCACATCCAAGATGGTTAAACTTCACTAGTCATAGCTTCTTACCAGAACTCCAAAGCTTCTCTCTCAAATCTAGTCCCTAATGAGCATATTATAATTTTCAGTTTAGGGTTGTAATGTGTAATGTAAAATTTCTATTCGTTGGTTATGACAAAAATTCAGCATAATATCTGTCATGAAATAAACGGATAAGTCACAATAAAACATAAATAATAATTAAATGCATATTATTTCGAAACTGGTATACACGAATAAATAGTTTTATATTATCCTATTACTTTTTTTTGAATGAATAAATGTCATGTAATTAGTCATTAGTGTTGTCAATCCAACAAATGGACATCGCAACAAAATTATTTAATAAACATCCATCTGTTATTGTTTTTTTTTATTTTTAAAGATAAGAATATTTTATTATTTAATTATTACAGATACTTTTGTGAAATATGTTTGGATCGTACATTATATGCGCGTACCACTAGTAAACTGTCAGATGGAACTGTATTCTGGGGGGAACAATTTGATTTAAAGTAAATAACCGAATATTTTTTTTGTAAATTTTTCTAAATCTTTTCATTATAAATATTATTTTAAACAAATTAAAATAATCACATTTTACACAAGTTTGTTTGTCATTGGTATTGTATTTCTATGAAATAACTTATTTTTTCTATGACTCTTTATGTTCTTACCTACTTACTTACGCCTGTTACTCCCAATGGAGCATAGGCCGCCGACCAGCATTCTCCAACCCACTCTGTTATTAATTTTCTCTTATAGTTCTATCCAATTGTTGTTCATTCTTCTCATGTCTGTCTCCATTTCTCGGTGCAATGTGTTCTTTGGTCTTCTTCTTCTCATTTGGCCTTGAGGATTCCAAGTGAAAGATTACCTTGTGACGCAGTTGGGTGCTTTCCTCAATGTGTCCTATCCACTTCCAGCGCTTCTTCTTGATTTCCTCCTCCTCCTGGAGCACTTCTGGGGCTACTGCCGGTCCCAAGCCCGGATAAAGGGGGAGGGTTGGGCATGGGGTTAACGATCTCATATTGTAGAAAACTAACTCGCTAAAAAGACGCTAACCAGAGAAAAATAATTCAGACCATTCTTTATGTTCACATATATCGTAATTATAGAATAAATATCCCTTAAATTATTTATGATTATAAATAGGACGTATGAAGAGTTTGAAATGGTAACTGAAATTTTCTACTTAAAATCTGGTTAAGATGTTTTTTTCTTAAAATACATTTACAGTAATATTTAGCGGTGTTAACATTATTTTACGCAATGGTCGATGCAAAATCCAATGTAATTTACTTACTTTACTGTGTTAGACTGTTGGAGAATCATTTGATGACTTCAACAATTCATAATCTTTTGAGATATCACAAAATATTTTCTATATTGTAAAAACAAATGTTAAGTTGACGAGTACTTCTGGTAAATATATTCAATGAACATACCTAATTGTGTTTTTATATATATTGGTATGACTTATGTATTTGAAGAAACATTATCTTATATTCCTAAATATATTCAAAATAATGCAATAACAAGAAACTTCAAGACGGTTTCTCATGAAGTTTAAGTTGTATTCACTGAATTTACTTCTTTTCGTAAAAATCCAAAATGTTATACTGCTATTTGAATATACATCCATATTGATGTAAACATTAAATATGGACGAACTAAATTGTTAATTTTTCAACCTGCATAGAAATTGTTCGAGACATTGATACCTCATAAACGAAGTAATTGTTATAACTTGTGGTCTTGTACCCTATTATTATATAAAGTAATGATGCCACCAATTAGACAACAATGATTTTTCGACCGGACTAATGAAGCGTAAACCCGTATGAGCAGTCTAGAGTCCTTATCTGTCCTGCTTCCTGCCTAGCCCTGCCTGTTAAGTCCAGAACACCAATTTCAGGCTCTGCGATTTGCATCATATATTTCAATCGTACTGGGTTTATATACAAACCAAACAGATCACATCGTGCCATAAAATAGAAAATAACATTTGTATAAGATTTCGCAAAAAGTGGCTGTGAATGTGGGAGACTGTAATTAGTAGACTGGGTAGAACCCAAGAACGGTAAGTCATATAATAATAAAGCTTTTAATAAGGGGAACATGAATATGCATAGTTTAGCTACTTAACAATTATACGATAAAAATATATGTATCGTATTGGTTCGTCAATAGTTTCCAAAAGTTACCATTCATAATTCTCCTCGGGATATAACAGTAATCAAAATGTTTTCCAAGTACGAAAATGTGCATTATTCTGATATCCAGTATTCTTTACAAACATCACTTAATCGAAAGTCAGAAGAGTCTATACGAATGATTTATTTTGTATAATTTCTTATTAGTCAATAGTTTAACCGTTTTTACGTAGTGGCAACTTTTACCTAGACAACTTGAGAACAGTAGAACACTGAGTGGAATTTATGTCAGTATCTTATTTTATTTGCCATTAAATTCAGTTTCTTAACAATGTAAATGTACAATGTACAGTTTTGCTTAATTTCTATTCTCATTTTTACACTATAACAGTATTTATTTCTAGATATAATTCAATTACAATAAAATTTTAAGATATTTGAACTGTTATGATAGAGTTTCCTCTTATCACAAGTAATGAATATTGGTACAAGGAAGCACCAACTAGATATGCGACACATAGATCATTCAACTTGTGTGAAGACTGTGATACTGCCCGCGTGCCAAAACCGAAACAGGTGGCTTTCTTAGGGAGCCACAGCCGGGGCCTTTGACCTAGAGGTCTAGTCCACAAAGCAGTGGAGCAACGTTAGAAGATGCGATTCCGTGGTAGTCGGTGACGAACGATTGATCAATACGCCATTTGTTCCTTCGGGATACTGAAGCCCATGTGTACCATCGGTTTGGAATCACAGTATTCCAACTCTTCTAGGTAGACTCTCCGTGTCCACCAACCTGGTTGAAGGGTGGGACATTCGCTTTTCGTCCTTTCAATTTCGTAAACAACACCCCCGCCACGAAAAGGTAGTGAGTAGGACTTCCTTGGCAGAGGCTATATACGCGTGGCCATGTGAGAGCATTTCGTGAGGGGAAGTTAACTCTCCCCACTCTAGGACGTACCAGGGCATTTAAGGGCAGAATTGTATAACATTCACTACCGAATACACTAAATAAATACACATCAGTAACATGGACATAATTTAACAGATTCAAGTTGATTATGAATTTCATTTGGTCTTATTTTCTCGAATGGTAACCAGTTGGATAACAAATGGATATTAGACGTTAACATCAACACAACTAAATCCAATTAGCGAATTTATAAATACCAATTTTCATTATACAACAGATTCTCTAAAACAAAACTTTTATCATACGTCTAACTCACTAATATGCTAGCATTTAATGAATTTTAGTTGTTCATTAACAATAGGAATAAGTATGAACGTGAAATTTTGTTTATTATATTGGCAGATGTTTTAGGAATTTATAAATTCGGGCTTGTGAACACCTCCCAGTGTGGTCAAGCAAATGTGTAGTTAAAACGGTTAACAGCTCCATTCTAAACCATTTAATTTTGTTACAGTTAAAAAAATCCCACAGATAAGTGAATATACGGGAAAGTAGATTTCTACATTCATTGTTCTTATATCTACTTTATAAAGATGTATTTATAAAAAAGGTTTCATATTTGAAAGTTAAAAATGAAAATACTTATGCCAAAACTATATTGATTATACATAAATAATGAGAATATTCTCCTATTTAAAAAAGGCTAAGAAAGAAGTCTGCTTGACAATTATTTGAAATAATTCAATAGACATAGATACTATTCAAAATCTATACTTTGCTTTTAATTAATGGGTAATCCTGTATTCAATTTGTCTTTGTATGATTATCGTATTTCTTTTTTCAATGTATTTAATTTATTTAAAGTAAGATCATTTATTATTATTCCTTACTTTTTCTTTTATTATATACAATGACAGTAATTTGCCTATAATATCCATTATGACAATAAATTTATTCAGGCAAGCAACTTCTGTAAAAGACAAACGACAAAGGAATAAAAATCAGAATCAATTTATCGGTATGTGATATATAACTATTTCATATATATTTTTATGTGGAACTTCTTCATGAAAGCTGGTTATTGAAAAATTACTTTATTAGTAGTATAAATTAATAAACCAAAAATATATTAGAAAGGTATAATACGTATAATTTCTATGTGTGTATGTACAGTTTTGTTCTTCCTTGTATATAAAAAGAAACAAGTCAAGCCCAATTACATCGTTTCTATAAAAATTTAAAATACATCCTAGTTTCAACTGACAATGGCATTTATATGACCGGTGAATTTGATCTTTATAAGTTGTACATAGAAATCTGTTTGAAAACCGGAAGGTACTGGACGGCGGCTTCGTCCTTGTATAGGACTACCCAGCAGTGAGCATCCACGACCTCACACACGGAATTCGAGCCCAGCGCCTACGGTCTTACATGCGAACGCCTAAACTCTAGACCACTAAGCCGTCATCCAAAGGTGTTAATGTATTAATTCAGCTAATTCATGGTGTTGCGCGACCATTTCGATTGTCCTCAGTAGATAGCATTCTCACACCCAACACGGTTGAACTTCACCGGTCTAATATTGATCGGTTCATGATTTCAATCAAATTGAACAATCTCCACAACCCAAACTAAATACTATATTTTGTTCTAGGGAAATCAAACTTTAATAAAATATCAGTAGAATCCCCACAGAATTAATGATTATTGATCACAGAATGAAAAGTAATAAATGAAGTGCATTTTAACAAAAAGATTGTATGTAGAAATTGATTCACAACTATATATAAAGGATTCTCTTACTGGATGATTACTACTTCAGTCACTTCATCATCTAGATATAAAACGGCAGCTACAGTGGTATGTGATATTGTAGGCTTCTAGAGACATTTCAGATTAGTGTTTTGGTTTGATTATAGCTTTCAAAAGTAAATATGAATATTATTCATGGATTTCAATGCTTACATTGAAAAAGTGGATAAACTTTGTGGCTTTGAACTCTACGTGTTAAATTACCATGTTACTGAATATCTACATTAATTAAATACCCACATTTAATGTGCTTCAGGATATATCACAGCCTTAATATTAACTTTTCAGTATTGAATAAATAAGATGTTTTTTCTAAAAGACACCCTATGTGAAGATAATTTTACGTCACTTATATCAAAATGGTGGCAAGTGATAACGAACATAGGATTGTGAAGCTTTTTTTAGTACTCCAGATGATATCTTCAGTGCCTACTTTGAATTGAAGCAGGTATCTTAAAGTTACTCACCAGTCAATTAATCAGTGTATCTTGAAGATTTTTTCTGCAACTGGTTATTTCTATGCGTCTGTATACTCCATTTGTCACGTTAGACGGTTGACGATAATTAGTAGATAGCCTTGAATCTAAGGTTTTTTACAAAGCAGTAGGGTATATCTAAATCTTGAGTGAACTGGTACTCCAAGTGAGATCTATACCACATTCTCAATCACCTTAGTAAGTGATATTAGTAATGAATCATTGTGACCTCGTATGACTTCTTATAGCAAGGATATACCGGATTTCATTGTATACTAAGTAATATCCCACATCATAATTGCTCTAGTTCACTATTTTGTGATGTTGATCTCTTATCGAATAAAACTAAATCTTTATTTTGTACAATAGGTTATGTTACTATTCCACTAAACGATGATTCACAACAATGTGAGATACAAAAATGGTTTACGATGCAACCTCCACAAATTAATTCAAATTTAAATTATCTAGAAAATTTACAAGTTCGTCATCAACAACAAACAGATACAAATCAAACACCATCGACCAATTCTTCAAATGGTGTATCAGGACGATTTCGTAAACATTCGATTCCAGCTTCATGTTTTGGATATTCTAATTCATTTTCAATTATACCCAATTCACAGTATACTACTAACAGTAATCATAAATTAAATGATGATAATGAACTAAAGTATAACCATATGGAACTATCAAAGAAGAAATGTTCATGGACTGCTGGTGTCAGTACAGATAGTAATTTTAATAAAACTAATAAAATTATTCCTAAATCATCATCGTCTACATCAAGTGCTACTTCACCAAATCTTTCACCTAATAGTAATTCAGTTACAAATAATTTTATTTTACCTGAAAATTCTTTACCTCAACTAAGAATGATGATTCATTATCAAACAGTTGATATTCTACCGATTGCTTGCTATAATGAATTAAAAGAGGTAAGCAATTACGATTTATCGATTTAACAAAAATGATATGCTGTATTTCTATGCAAATATTCACAACATTCCCTGTTTATAAGTTTTCTAGTGGATTAAATAAAGATTATTATCTGTTAAATTGCTATATACTCACAGATGATATATATATACGATTACACTTTAACACGACATATCGTAACAAGATGTTGAACATATTGAAAAATCGGCTTACATTTAACCTCAATAACGACCTCAATACCCATTTACATAGAAACTAGTTAACGTTTATTCATGGTATGAATTAATCAATTCCCAAGATATATTCCATTGAAATGTATATATAAAACAGCTCATGTATATTTTAAATTTGATTGTTAAATAGTGAAAAACATCGTCCAACTTGTTACATTTTTGTATAAAAATGTATAAATGTAAAGTAAATTATTTAAAGTGAGCTTTCTATGTCAATGAAATTACTACCCAAACAATAAGTAGAGGAAAGAAATATGTATTTTTTTCAAATGACTTTTCATTATATTATTATTATACTATAAATTTTCACTAAGATAAAGTAGGATTCGTTGAAGTTAGACATTAATACCTTTGAATTCCGGCTCAGTGGTCTAGAGGTTAAACGTTCGCGAGAAACCAAAGGTCCTGGGATCGAGTCCTCAGACTGGGGTCGTGGATTTGGACTTGTGAGAAGTCCCATACTAGGATAAAACGGCCGTCCAGTGCTTACAGGTTTTCAATGATGATCTAACATTGATTGGTTCATGACCTCAATTAAAATAAAGTTATTTAACAATAAGGGTAAAAATGGTGACAAGTAAATGGTGAATATGTTAAATAACGGTATTACAAACTCACAGGGTGCTTAACGCACTAGTTAAAACGTCAAAGTGTGTAGGGTAATCGTAATACTTAAAGATATAAATAAATTAATGAAATAGAATACATAGTTGTATGACTGACTTATTACATAATATCAAGTGAACTAGAAAAATTTGATTATGATGTAAAATGTTAACAGTCGTTTCATAAGAACGAAAAGAAGAACATTACACTTATGCAAGAAAAAAAGCTACAAAGAAAATTGAAAATTTTTAGCGAAATCCTAGAAGAAGGAATAGTAAGATATAGGTTACAGGCCTTTGTTTGTGAGCAAAATAAAATGAATGGTTCAACGAATTTCTTGTGAACGAGGTCAGGTTTGTAAAGATGGATGCGGAAAGCTATGACTATACGCAAAAGAAGAATACATATATAATGAGACAAATTTAGTAGTATACAATCAATAAACCGAAAGGTTTTGTTCAACCCTATTTAACTTTGATTAAATGACCAAATGCTGTTCTCTTAATCAACCTAATAAGGATGGTATTCGGAAATTTTGTGTCTGACTTGCTTAACTATCCGCCTGATGTAATCAGCCTTACAAGAGCAGTTAACTTAGTAAATACAAGGTAAATCCAAGTGGTCTATTTTATTTCCCACTATGGGGAAACCCTACTCTTTCTGATTACGGCTTATAATTTTATTACTTCTACCACTACGTGATTTGAATCGACAACTGCATCTCTGTGCTAATGTGCTATGGCAACTCGAACTGATGTACCGTACGTATGAAGTTCTACGCTGTTACTAACTGACTGACTGATTGATTTCCCACTATGATGATAGATTGGGCGATTATCTGTCTACTGTCTTTATTCTGAAATATTTAACCTGATGTGAACATCTAATTCAAATATTATAAACCGTAATGTTATCATATAAATACTTGAGCATTCATTAAAGAATAAAACCAACCATATATACGATTTTGTAACTTTTTCTTGGCTAGAATAATTTCAACGCATTAACAGCATATGTTTTTATCTTGGGGATTTATTTCTTTCTTATTAAGACAAACAACATTTTTTCTCTTGTTTAACAAAAGAAAAATCATAAAAATAGAAACTAGGTAATCTTCATCATATATATAGATTACGTTGAAAGTTAGTGATGTATACATGACCTTGTCCAAATGTTAGTCCAAGCAAATTTATCATTTATTATAAACGAGAAATGTGTCGTTTATCTTTAACCATTTTGTCAATAATAAAGAATGAATCATCCTCATTAGATAGTTCGGTTAATTTTCTAGTGGAAATATGATCGGATTGAAAGCTAATTTTATAGATTTTTTTGATAATTTTGTGACTTAATGGTACAAATTGAAAAGAATAGTAAGCTTTCTTTTCTGAATAATCAGAACTATACAACTATCATCTTGAAAAAATTAACATACTTAGTGAGAGATTGATACCCCTTGACATTCTTTGTTGTAATCACAGTTATTTGGGTCATTTATTTTATTTATTTGAACACATAAATATTGGTACAAAACGGCAGTAGATACATATGCTTCACACAAGTAACTTGATTTGTGTGTAAGTTGTGATACTGCCTGGGTGCCCAAACCGAAGCAGGTGGTTTTTTTAGGGGTCCACACCCCAAGTCTTCTAACTAAAAGTCTAATCCACAAGGCAGTGGAGCGACGTCAGGAGGTGCATTTCCATGGTAGCTGATGACCAACAATTAATTCATATGCTATTTGTTTCCTCAGGGTAGTGGAGCCCATGTGCACCATTGGTTCGGAATCAGAGTTTTCCAACTCCCTTAGATGAATCCTCCATATCCACCAATTCGGTTAAGGCGCGGGGCATTCGCTTTTTATCCTCTCAATTTCGTAAACAACACCCCCGCTAAGAGAAGGTAATCCGGGTTATTTAACACTGTTAATTGTTTTTAAACTAACTACTTTGTATCATCATTACTACATACATAATAAATCATACTTCTAAATGTTTCCCATCTATACACTTTATTTTTATTTATAGTTCATCAAAACAAAATATTTAGATTTAATCAGAAACTTGGAACTTAAATTATCAGCTAAACAAAAAGAAGAATTGACCAGTTGTTTTGTAAATATTTTTGAAAAATTACCAGATTTATCTGTAGCGGAATTTTTATCAGTACTACTTCGTGAAGATTTAAGTAGTAATGGTAGGTTTTTTTCTTCTCATTATTTTCTTTTATTACATTATGTATTAGAAAACTTTGTTTTTCACGATACTCTGTGTTTAAAGGAACAATGAAAACAGACAAGTTAGTTATTAATTAATGTGATTCATAAAACACAATAGTATATAAAACCGAATCATAATCATTTTTAACTAATCTATTCGGTAGATTTGGTTACATAGAAGTAACTTCTGACATCTTTCGATACTATACCCAATAGTTTTATAATACCTTTCGTCTTCAATAGTTTTTAAATGACGATTCCCGAAGTCAAGATAACGATTTATTCTCATAGCTAAACATCTATAAACAGTTTGTTTAATTTTTAACTAGGTAATTTATTATTAAACTAGATTTTTCTGATTGAGATCATGAACCGATTGATACTAGACCACCGTTGGAAACCTGGAAGCACTGGACGACCCATAATAGGACGAAACGGCCGTCCAGCGCTTTCAGGTTTCCAACGGTGGTCTAATATCAATCGGTTCATGATCTCAATAAAAAACTTAATAATCTCCACAACCCCTATACTGGTATTAAACTAGATGTTTCACTTGCTGTTTGAGAATTGAATCTTTTGCTTACTAATTATTTAACATTGAAGTTAGAAAGGTAACACACCGTAGAATAAGTCTATCAATATTTCGAAGCTTTTTTAAGCTTCTCACTTTATTTTGATTACATTCACTTGAAGAAACTTTGTAATTTATTGAAGCTGCTTATATCACAGAAAGCACGGAAGTATATTGTTATGTTTAATATAGTCATGACGTTCTATTATATCAACCCTGTTATATCTTGAAAGTTGATTTCTCGATATACCGTGTATAACAGAGCACTAGAACACCAAAACCCTTCCAAGTCGCAATGAGAAGACAGAAGACTAATGAAAGGAATATTATTTCAAACAGTGTCAATCATAGTACAAAATTGTCAGGTATTTATAGTTTTTAGTGAGAACGAAATCATCATTACAGTCCTCCAATCCGTATACAGGGGGTTATTAGCATTATCCAATCGGGAAGCTACATGTTGGAATTCTAGAATATTCTTCCGAAAGGTGATTGGATGAAACGTATTCGGCTCCTTCTGAGGCTCTTACAGCTTCCTCGAGTTCACCGGTGGTTCGTCGTCACAAACCCTATTAATAAAGAAACCAAAAAAATGAGCTAAATAATATATTTACTCATCTGATAATTAATCCATAGAAATATAAATAAGAATTTTCAGTTATAGACTTCAACTTTTGCAAGCAGTGTTAATGAAGTTTGTCAAATGCTAATTCTTAAAAACAAACTATTATATCATCTTAACCATCCACAAACAATAAATATATAGAATCGTCAAGAATATCAAATATTGATATACTAATGTCATAGATGTGTTGATCAAAGTATAACAAATAAGATTTGAATACAATTTATAGATAACCTCAAGAAAAAAAAAGAAATATAAGACTGACTATTACAAATACTTAACGTCAGATCTTTATCTAACTGATTTCACTGAATATCTTAATTTTAATAAAGTGGATATATATTTATGTTGATTTGTCTGGAAAGAACAAACATTTATTACATTTGTCATTCTGTATATGATAGTGATCATTCAAAAAACGTCTTATTTATAAGTATTTCTCATTCATTTATCAAAAACATATTGATGTTATCATTTGTTTAAAGAAGCAAACTGAATACCTATTTCAAGGATTTATCTATCTGAATTTATTTTATCCATTATATTGAGCTACAATTGTAACTATTCTCAGGTAGTTTTCCCACATCTATTTATACATCCAGTGTACCTTACTACTTACCTCTGATAGTTGTGAATTAAATAAGTCATCTTTCAGAGGATACCAAGATTACTTAGATTAATAATATCACATACAACATAGGCTTTTTTACTTCATGCTCCATATATTTAGTACAACGATTTAAAATATCATTGTTTTGAAACTAATCTACTTGTTTTCATCAAGATACACTATAGAACTATTTCACATGTAACCTAAAGCTTATAATATAAAAATGAGTGAAATCATTCATTTCAATATCTTCATAATATCTTACTGTCATATTTTACTTTAAACTTTCATAACGTATAATTTTGATGAAAAAACATTCTAGATTTTAACCTAAACCGGTTAACTGTTCAAAAAATTAAACAACAATACCTGGATCAAATATCAGTCAGTAAAAACGTAGAACTTCATAAGTACGTACATCAGTTCGAGTTGCCATACCACATTAGCACACAAATACAATTGTCGATTCAAATCCCGTAGTGGTAGAGGTGGTAAGAGTATAAGTAGTAATCGGAAAGATTAGGGTTTGAAGACATTATTCAAGGAGTATAATACAGTGAAATAAATTTGGAAAGAGAAAAAAAAGCGACGTGAAGAATTCAGAAGATTTGAATTTAGGGGAACACAAAGAGTGGATGCACCTGCGCCATTGCAAACCATTTTGAGCCATGTCATTCAGAGTCCCATACCATCGGTTGCTATTTTCTCGCGAATCTCAACCAAGTAGTCTACACCTACCAACATGGCTCAGTCCACTTGTCAGTGACTTCATGGAATTGTGCCATGTTTTGGTCTGGCCGCACCTAGCCTTCTTTCAACCTACTCCTATACCATTGAACATCGCACGTCGGAGCAGTCGGTGGTCGGACATACGTAACACGTGTCCCAGCCATCTCAACTGATGAAGTTTCACTACTTCATCAATTGATTTGCCACCCTTACCTAGTACCCGTTTCCTAACAACTGCATTACTTACTCGATGGTCCCAGGATATACGAGCAATATTTCGAAGACACCTATGATCAAATCCTAGTAACTTACGAATATCCTCTACTCTTACCGGCTATGTTTCGCTGCCGTAAAGTAGGACGGAACAAACTGCTGCGTAGTAAACACGTCCTTTGGTTGATAGACGGATATCTCGCCTACGCCATAAATGACGCAAGTTAGTAAAAGCTAGTCGAACCTTCTGTATCCGTGCTGAGATTTCGTCACACACCAGACCACAACGGCTGATGAGACTCCCCAGATAAGTGAAGTGATCGACACGCTCAACTACTTCACTCCTTATCATTAGTTCAGGTTTCGATGCAACCCAATCCTCAAGCAACATTTTGCGTTTTGATGGGGGGAATCGCATCCCGAACATGCTTGCATTGTTGCTTATAATGGTCCAAATACAAACCACACCTACAAGCAGAAACTTCAGTGGGATGGTATTTTCAAAGATGCAGAGATGATCTGATTGGAGAGTTGTTTTTTTCATGTTGTATAATTTATAGAATTATGATAAAAATTTAAATTACGTCTAGTTGACAGTAATTCATCATATGAATCATCATAATTCACTTCCGGTTGTCCATTTAATTAATTTTTCAAAACAAATAAATAAACATTGAGAATATGACGGAAGTATAAATTCGGTCCAATACAATGTGAAAAATAGTAAATTGTTCAACAGCTTCTTTTATTTAGTTGTGATAAAAATTTTAGATGTTTTTGATTGAGATCATGAACCGATTGATGTTAGACCACAAATGGAAACCTGGAAGCACTGGATGGCCGTTTCGTCCTATTGTGAGGCTCCTCAGCAACGCGTATCCACGATCCCGCTCGCGGGATTCGAACCCAGTGCTTTCAATCTCGCACGAACGCTTAACCTACTGGACCACTGATTAGGCATCCGATGGTGTTAGTGTCTATCATCAACCAATCCGCGAAATTTCACGATCATCTTCCATAGTACTGAGGTAGATACCTGCCTGTACCCGACACGGATTAGCTTGATGATCACAATCAATAACATGATAATCTCCACAACCCCTATACTGTTAAAATATTTTGTTGAAAATGTGTCATTTAATGGACTTTGATTTTCATATACTCACCTTTGAAATATACTTTTCGTCTGATTTTCAGTGACACTATGAGATCATATAAAGTATGAAATTCCCTAGAACTAGTCAATTATTTCACTTCTTGTTATTAGTCCCTAAATTATGTTCTCTGTTTTAAATACTTTATAGACTCTATAACATACTACTTTATCATAACCAGTATTATATTGGTTTATAAATATATTTTATCAGGTAAATTATCAACTTTAATGCAAGAAGTCTGTGTAAATTTGTTAATTTGTAGTTTACACCTTGGTATGAATTTAGCTAAAGGAACATCAAAACCTAGAAACTACCGGACTATTATTTCTTTCTCATATATGTAACTCTCTTATAGACAATTATTCACTGTTTATTGAAAATATATTTTGTTGAAAAAAAACAACCCAATTAACTATTTGCCTTTTTTTGTTGTCTAAATTAAGGAAAAGAATCTATGATATTTCGAGCTAACTCAGCAGGATCAAAAGCAATGGAATGTTATATTAAATTAGTGGGAACTGATGTAAGTCATAATGTAATTAACTGCTACAGACTTTATATACTATGTTTTAAAAATCTATATTGTTTTCCTGTTGTTTCATTTACCAGAAATATTGATACATTTTAATGGAATTAAATTAAATGGGAACACAATATTGCTGATCACTAAAACTTCTCTATGTTCTGTCTAGCTTATTATACACTTGTTATGTCAGTCAGTCAATCAGTCAGCTGCAACGTAGGACCAGGCACATATATGCATCAGTCCAAGTTGCCATACCACATTACCACAGCAAGATGAACACTGGATTCATAAAAGTAGTTAATTCAATGGTGGTAATATATAAAAGAAAGATTGCATATAAAGATAAAGTACAGGGAAAAACAATTAGTTCGTAGAAAGAAAGAAATGAAGCAATTTCAATCTCTTAGTTTAAGGGAAGACAGAGAGTGTATACACCGACGCCATTGTGATCGATTCTGAGCCATGTCACCAAGAGTCTCCAACCATTGATTACGATAGTCTGCATCTACCAACATGACTCAGACTAGAAGTTAATGACTTCAAGTACTGATGCCACGTTATGATTTGGCCCCCCCTAACTTTCTTCCAACCATCTCCAACACCGGTTAGCATTGCACGTCGTGGAAATCGGTGTTCGGGCATACGTAAATCGTGGCCCAACCATCTCAGTCGACAAAGATCCACAATCTCATCAACTGATTTACCATCATTCCCTAATACCCTACGTCTAACCTCACTATTACTTACCCGGTGATCCCAGCAGACCCCAGCAATATTTCTAAGGCATCTGTGGTCAAATACTAGTAGCTTACGAGAGTCTTCCACTCTTAAATGCCATGTTTCGCTGCCGTAAATTAAAACAGAACGGACTGCTGCGCAGTAGACTCGTCTTTTTATTGATAGACGGGTATCTCGCCTTCGCCATAGGTGACGTAAGTTGACAAAAGCCAAACGAGCTTTTCGAATCCGTGCTGAGATTTCGTCAGACACCAACCCATTAGGGCTGATCAGACTTACAAGATAAGTGAAGTTGTCAACATGTTCGACTACTTCACTCCCTATCTTTAGTTCAGGTGTTGATGCAGGCCAGTCCTGAAGCAACAACTTGCATTTAGAGGGAGAGAAGAACATTCCAAGCATTGTTGCTTAGTGCTACCAGAAGACTCTGCATTCTATCAGCTTCTTCACCAAACGTTTGTTAGGTAATTATACTTAATAGCTATTTTTCTTTAGTATTTACTATACTGATTATAAATAAATCTTTTTCATCTAAGATTCATTCATACAATAACATATGTATACATTCTGTTTAAAAATAAACAGAATAATATTCTTCTCATTGAATGTTATATAACAACGGAACATTCAAGTAACTAAAAGATTCAAACAACAAAGAATCAATCTTCCCTAGTCTATTCTTCTTAGTGTATTAGAAAAGATTTAATTAAATAAGAGAATTCTAACATATAAAACAGAAAGAGTCGGATAAAATATTTTCGACAGTTGTTTTTGTTTATATTTCGGACAGGAAACTAAAAAAAACAAAACGGGAAATAACAACAGACCCAAAAATAGGAGAAAAATCCTGTTTTTACATCCAATTAGGCATAATGGACAATCGAATACGTTATTTTATCTATTATGATCTCATTATGATTATCATCACTATTATTATTATTATTATTATTATTATTATTATTATTATTATTATTATTGAGAATATGATCAAACAACAAAAACACTGTTTGTATAGTTCCGTCTACTATAAAATCAAACAACTATGGAACTATTTCAGAGTATTATTTTTTGTAGAATATAAAGACAAATATCAAAGTGAATAAAGTAGATGTCACCTACATCCATACACATATACATATACTCAAGCTGAAATATGCACACACACACACACAGATGCACAATCGAAAATGTCCTAAAGTAAGATCTGAATTAAAATAGGAATATTAAAATGGATAGAAAGGAAAATAATAAAAAATATGAATAATTTATTAGTTGTTATATCAACTATGTAATTTTAACATAACTGATTACAGGATGCAAATAGGTTATTATTATTATTATTGAATAATAAATGTCCTAACAATTAATAGTGTGCTGATTCTCATGAATTAAAGTGAATTCATTCAATATTGACAAAATGAATAAGGAACACATTAGTAAATATGGTATTATTTTCAATTAACATTTCTAAATACTTTTGTCATTCGGAAAAAAAACATACATAAACTTTCAAGTTTTCTATCTATTTTGTATGAATTTTCGGATACTTAAAGATGATTACAAAGTCAAAGCATCTATATAACATAACTTCTTAATATATGAAAAATAGAGAAAATTTGAAAGAAAGTAGATGAGAATCATATTTCTGTGACCAGTGGAGCTAATCCGTGTTGGGTAGAAACAGGTATCTACCTCAGTACAATGGAAGATGGTCGCACAATTTCGTGGATTGGTTGAGGTTAGACATTAACACCAATGGATGACGACTCAGTGGTCTAGTAGTTAGTTAAGCGCCTGGCGCCTGGGTTCGGATCTCGCGGGGTGCGGGATCATGGATGCGTACTGCTGAGGATTCCCATAATAGGACGAAACGGCCGTCCAGTGCTTCCAGGTTTTCCATGGTGGTCTAGCTTCAATTGACTCATGATTTCAATCAAAAACTTAACAACCTCCATAACACCTAAACTGATATTTCTGAAAGTAGTTTCATTATGCAACTGGAAATAACTAGAAGATGGTTTAACAACTAAGATGATACTGGAATGAGATACATTGATAACTCATTTCAAGAAACGTCAAGAAATAATTACAGTGTTCCAAACTGAAAGTCATCATTCCTTTATGCTGATGATTGATTTATTGACTTTAAACTGCATAGCCACTTATTTGATGCCTAATTTGATGTGGAATAGCCTTCAGTGTTGATCAATTTTAATCAGTAGCAATCACTAAGATAAATGGTTTAAGTAAAAGGGAACTTTAATCAGGCCCATAGGAACTCATCGGAAATATTCATATCTAAAAGTTATCAGAAAAATATATCTATTATCTCAAGGATATAAACGCCCGATCAAACATTTAAAATATGATCATCCAATATAAGAACTTTTATCTAAATTTGATCGAATAGTTACACAGTATTTGGGTGACGACTTAATGTGAGGCAAATCCAAACAGTTTTAATAGGAGAGTTGGAATACGATTAGTTGTCCGATGACAAGTAATAATTAATAAATAAACCTGAACTCCTTATTCCATTTTATCTATTGTTTATTATCTGAATGGCAGCAATTATGTTTAACTGTTCTAATCAGTTGTCTTATCTGAATATGTTAAACAGTTAACCGGAACAATAAAAAACTAGCATAAACATTCATTTAAATTCAGCTACAAATACATTCTTTCTCTTTGAATTCATTCCTTTATGTTCTTTATTTATCTTCATTTTATGTATGCTATGACATTTTTGATTTATATCATATATAAAAATTGTATGTTTCCTGAAAATTCACCGACCAGAGACAATATATAATGAATGAAATTTCTTTTCACACCACTTACGTATACATACAATCTGTTATCTTAACACACTTTTCGTTTCACACCACATATCTCATACACACTAAAGCAAATACCTAATTCAAACATTGTTAATGTTGATTGGATGATCTATTTAGTATACAGTGAACCATGTACCTATTTAGATTCGATAATTTTAATGTTTGATTATGTTTCCAGATTCCTAGGCGAAACGTTGAATTTACTTTAAATTCATTCGCTGAGATTTTGCAAATACATTCTACCTCTTTAAGATCATCAAATGTTGTATTAAACATACTCCACACAAATTTAGATAATTTTTGACGATGATTTTAAATTAACTCAAAATGATTTACTATTTGCTACTTGAACTTTAACTTCGGTAACTGCGCAATTGAAAAGTAATAGAAATTTCACTACTCTAAAGATAAAGTATCTCTGTGAATAATCTATTTTACTAAAAGTTAGGTTTTGCCAATCAACTTCACAGATAAACTAACCTTATGAGTGATAAATAAAGTCTGTATAATTTACATAAATTATAATAACTCAAAAATTACATGTATCCAGACAGTTAGTGTCTATCAAAAAGGTACAGTAGAATTTATACATTATAATTAGAAGTTAAAGATTACGGTTAGTTAAGCGACTTGTATTTGACACATTTGAAAATCACCAAATGAACATTTTACACTTTCAGACAAAACAGTTTATATAGTTAGTCTTTTGAACAATAAGAATGATCAAATTCTTGGACTCATTATAGATAACGTTTAACCCATATTTAATTATTCTTCATTTCAGAAGGGGTTTTGTGGAGATTGTAGTAATTTCAATAGTTGAATTCATGAGTCAATTGAAGCTAGACCACAATGGAAAACCTGGAAGTACGAGACCGATAGGTACTGGGTTCGAATCTCGTGGATGCGCACTGCTGAGGAGTCTCACAATAGGACGAAACGGCCATCAAGTGCTTCCAGGTTTTCCATGGTGGTCTAGCTTCAATTGACTAATGATCTCAACTATTGATATTATTCATTTTTTGATAATCAAATGAAAGTTAAATAAACGAAAACAGTTTGAGGTTTGTATAGAATTTGAAAAATAGAATGCTTATAATATTTAATGAATTTAGGTATGTTAAATTATGAACTTCAACTAATCATCTCTCATTCAAGTAAAATCCCTTCCTGTATGTATTTAACGTATGACATCATACTTATAACAGTGTATGGTTAGATAGTGAAAGGTTATTATCACTCAATATACACTAATGAGCTTCCCGAAGAAGTTACCTTTAATTTTTATTTATTAAGTTTAGTGATTTACTCGTAAATACTTATTACAAGTTCCTGTTAAGCATGAGATTACTGAAAGTGAAAAAAAACATATCAACTGTTTAAGGCTAGGCATTTTTCAAGGATAAGATAATGAACTAA